CCAGTTTATCCTTGGTTATAACAGCTTAAGTTACTGTGTTAAAAACCATACAATCCATATTTTTAGCCAACCTAAATAAATGATGAATTTTTTGGACACTGTGTACTTTTAAAACATAAATAAATAAATAATATGAAATTTAATATATTACTGATGTWATAAAAAAATAAACTTTTCTTTTGAAAAATATTAAACATCATTAAAAAAATAAATKTGTGGTRTTYCCATAAGCAAACTGTCCTAACCAATCCGTTTTGGCAGGAGAAGGAGATAATACCATACTCGGACTAATGTCCATATTATCTGGAAGTGATGCAGGATTTTTGTCGAAACATCTTTCTCCTCCTTTAGAACTTTGTATACAATCAATGTCTCTGTATAAATCAGGTATAATCATATCCTTCGACCTAAAAATAATAAACAATTACTYCCTATAATAGGACATACTTTAATGTAATTAAATAGCTATTTTTAACAAAATATCTAATAAAAATAATTAGGTAATTTATATATTTATTGAAAAATTGACTACATAATACTTAATAAAAGGTTTACAGAATTAAAATTGGTATGATTTATTTCAAATATGATATTGTTTTGATTGTGAAAGGAATTGAAAACCACAAACATTTTAAAATTGTATGATAACRTTTCAAGATTGATTTTTAGTAASAGAAAGAACAAAAATATKATGTTAACATAACATAAATGTAGGTAATTTCACTTAGGATGAAATGAAGAATGATATGCTCACTTTWAAAMAGAATTGAAATTTTTTAATCAACAGATAAAATTATWKAAWTTTTTTTTATTTTATAAAAAATATTACTCAATACTCACTTAGGAAGAACATATGGATCAAATGGAAAATAAGAGTACAGCCATTCATCCTTGATTGATTGATCAGTGACTCTAATATGACCATCCATTACCACATAGCAATAAGTCAATTGRTATGTTTTTGTAATAAGTGCAAAACGATCAACTACTTTTGAACAACAAAGACGTAATGGACTTAATCTACATGTGACTATATTAG